AATAATCTGAAACAAAAGTGATAGTTCTTTAAGGACCTCAAGAGATTTGCTTGAAATTTATTAAATTGCTTGAAATTTATTAAATGCTTTTTAAATGCCTACTGTACAAGTTGCCTTTTAGACTGACATTTACAAGCTAATACCTGAGTGATCAGAGCCTTATAGCTTTAGAACAACTTGTGCTCAGATAGATTAAGGAAACAAATGACTTCCTAGTGTGTAATTTATCTTTAATCTCTTTACAGCATCATTTGATTACCACCTTATATACTCAATATAAGTATTTAAAATGTGTTAGTTTTTTTAGACGTCTCTATTGTTTGCAAACAGCTTAAAGTGGTTTGAAAGGCTCAAGGTTTTTTACCTTCATGAATTATATGCATAAAGGTAAAAAACATTCTGTGTGCAGCAGCCCCCCCAGCTCTCCCAAACCTTACCTGAGCCCCTGGGGCGTAACGCTTATGAGTGGAAGGAGCTGAGCTCCAGACATTTTGAACTGATGATCATCCAGGAGAGCGGGGTGGTGAGCCATGTAACAAAATTATACATTATATTCTGGATTGTTTCTTACATTTTGTAAGTGTTTTTAATCTGGGTGCTAATAAATCGTTTTATAAATAGAGAGCATTATGATTCTATTTTTCTATGTTCCATAATACATATTATACGAGAGCATCAGCTGCAGGAGTGTATTCTGTGGTGGTGCTGGGAGAGGAGCTGGAGGAAGACCACAGAGGCTGTACACAAGTCTGTCCATATGCTGAGCGCATAATGACCTATGGATAAGGTCAGGGGCGGACTGACAACTCATGGGGCCCCCGGGTAATAGGGGATCATGGGGCCCCTATGTCCTTGCCCAAACTCAAAAAAGCCTATAAAAAAGGTACCATGGGCATCTCATGGGGCCCCCTACTGACCCTGGGCCCTCGGACAGTGCCCGAGTTTCCAAATGGTTAGTCCACCCCTGGATAAGGTCATAAAGTGATGTGAGCAGGTTTTTTCACCAAATGGTGGTGACATGGTTGGCACTGATGAAGAGAGAAGATTTATCTTATACACATTGCACAGCAGTGTTAGAAGGGCTCGTTCACACTTGACTAATTTCTAACTCTTGCCAAACGCCCCTATAGAGTTTGACAGGCGTTAGATAGGCGTTTGGGAAGCGTTTTTAAAGCCCCTCAAACGCTCCACAAAGCCCTATGCATGTTTTTGAGGCATTTGCAAAGCTTTAAAATTGCGCCACAAATGCCTATAATAAAGCCAAAGCTTTAAAATTGCGCCACAAATCGCTATAATAAAGTTTAATGGTATTAACGCTCCACAAACATCTGGCAAACACCCCGCAAACGCCTGCCAGGCATTTGAGGAGCATCACCATATACTTGAATGGGAGGCTTCAACTTTTCCTGACTCAACATGAGGCGGCAATTTTGCCGCAACTGAATTCTACAGTGTGAACAGCACTGTGTGCTGCCATGTGCTGTGTTTAAGGAGCGTTATAAACGCTTCCCAAATGCCTGTCTAATGCCTGCTAACAAAGCTAGTGTGAACTAAGTCTGAGACCTTTTCATGGGACTTTAAATATTGTTTTAATTGATTTTTATATGAGATATTAGTTTGTTGAGCTACACTTTATCGTTATTCATCTTCCACACTATATTCAAAACTAAAACTACTTTTGCTACAGATACCTTTTAACTGACTTTCACTTTGTTTCCTAACCTCTACGTTGTCCTGCTGAGGCAATATGAAACAGCCAGCACTTCCAGGTATGGGACAGTATATGGCTCTTTCCCCTTCCTCTCACCATGCAGGGTGGGCTGTCTAAGCAGGTAACCACCAGGCTTAGAGAGAGTCCTTGGCCTTGTGTGTGTTTCAACCAGATCAGCATGGAGCTTACACAGGGTTTTCTGTCCTCACTCCAGCGGACCAAATAGGGAGCAAGGGGAATCCGCTACATACAGTATTGCATGTCTTTTCTGTAATAAAGAGCCTGTCTGTTCACATTTTTTTGCATTTAGCTTCACTTTAGTTCCTCTGCACTTCAGTAGAACAGTTTTTTTTTGTAAAACTGAAAGGTGTGACTTGTACTTAAATCAGTGCTTGATGATTAATGGCATCATTAACATTCCTCTCCGAAACATGTGTCCTTCACCTGCATAAGATGTGCATTGATCATGTAGTTTTATGGTGCCATTTGTTGGTCTGTATGGACACCCTTTAGTAAAGTAAATCATCACATTCTAGTGTCAGAAATTTCTGTTTGTCTGAATCATTAGGCATGCAGCATGGCACTACACAGCTTAATGCAATAGTAACCTCTGTCCGTAGTCTGACAACTGACATTTCCTGTAAAGAAACTACGTATATTTTAATATATTTAAAAACAATATAGGGTCTGGGATTATAAATACCATTTCAGTCTTTGCAGATGACACCAAGCTGTACAGTGGAATAATGTCCTTACAGGATCTTCAATTTACAAGCCGACCTCAATGCACTGTGTAATTGGACAACTACAGTACGTGGTAAATGCGATTTAATGTTAATAAATGTAAGGTTATGCACTTGGGGGCTAAGAATATGCATGCATCATACATACTAGGGGGGTACAACTGGGGGAATCAATGGTGGAGAAGGATCTGGGAGTTCTGGTAGATCACAAGCTTAATAATGGCATGCAATGCCAAGCTGCGGTTTCTAAAGCGAGCAAAATCCTCTCTTGTATTAAAAGAGGTATAGACTCCAGAGAGGGAGAGATATCATATTACCCCTGTACAAATCATTAGTAAGACCTCATCTGGAATATGCAGTTCAGTTTTTGGGCACCAATTCACAAAAAGAACATTGGGGAACTTGAGAAAGTACAGAGAAGGGCAACCAAACTGATAAGAGGCATGGAGGAGCTCAGCTATGAGGAAAGATTAGAGGAACTGAATGTATTCTCTCTTGAGAAGAGGAGATTAAGGGGGGATATGATCAACATGTATAAATACATCAGTGGTTCATATAGTGAACTCAGTGTAGAGCTATTCACCCTGAGGTCATCACAGAGGACAAGGGGGCACTCTTTACGTCTGGAGGAAAAGAAATGTAATCTCCAAACATGGAAGGTTTTTTCACAGTAAAAGCTGTGAAAATGTGGCATAGACTCCCTCAATAATTGGTTCTGGCCAGCTCAATGTATTGCTTTAAAAAAGACCTGGATTCTTTCCTAGATACACAGAATATAACTGGATACTAACATTTATAGGTAAAGTTGATCCAGGGAATATCGTATTTTCCGCTCCATAAGACGCACTTTTTTCCCCCAAAAAAAGGGGGGGAAATGTCAGTGCGTCTTATGGAGCAAATATTATGCGGCCGGTCCGGTATTTCTGCCAACACCATGTCAGAATATCGGGCCGGCCGCTCAGCTCTTCTCTCCTGCAGGGCCTTACCTGATCCTCACTCCAGCGCTGTGCAGTCTTCCCACGGCGGCTTCTGTGACAGCCGGGTGCCCACTGCGCATGCGCGAGAAGCGCTGCGCTTTGTGAATAGTCCGGCGTCTTCTGGCACACATGACAGGTCCCAGAAGGCTCAGCGCTTCTTGCGCATGCGCAGTGGGCACCCAGCTGTCACAGAAGCCGCCGTGGGAAGAAGGAAGGACAAATCCGCAGAAGTGGGAGCGGGTACCTGTCAAATTCAGGTACCCGCTCCCCCTCCCTCCCCAAAGGCCCGCAGTCTCTGGTAATCTCCTTTACTGTCTGCAGTCTCTGGTCATCCCCTGCACTGTCTGCAGTCACTGGTCATCCCTGTACTATGTCCACAGTCTCTGATCATTCCCTGTACTATGTCTGCAGTCTCTGGTCATTCCCTGTACTGTGTCTGCAGTCTCTGGTTATCTCCTGTACTGTGTCCGCAGTCTCTGGTCATTCCCTCTACTGTGTCTGCAGTCTCTGGTCATCCCCTGTACTGTGTCCGCAGTCTCTGGTCATCCCCTGTACTGTGTCCGCAGTCTCTGGTCATCCCCTGTACTGTGTTCGCAGTCTCTGGTCATCCCCTGTACTGTGCCTGCAGTCTCTGGTCATCCCCTGTACTGTGCCTGCAGTCTCTGGTCATCCCCTGTACTGTGTCTGCAGTCTCTGGTCATCTCCTTTACTGTGTCTGCAGTCTCTGGTCATCTCCTGTACTGTGTCCGCAGTCTCTGGTCATCTCCTGTACTGTGTCCGCAGTCTCTGGTCATCTCCTGTACTGTGTCCGCAGTCTCTGGTCATCTCCTTTACTGTGTCTGCAGTCTCTGGTCATCTCCTGTACTGTGTCTGCAGTCTCTGGTCATCTCCTGTACTGTGTCCGCAGTCTCTGGTCATCTCCTGTACTGTGTCTGAAGTCCATTGGTTCAGAATATTTTTTTTCTTGTTTTTCTCCTCTAAAACCTAGGCGCGTCTTATGTTCAGGTGCGTCTTATGGAGCGAAAAATACGGTACCTGATTACCTCTCGGGAGATCAGGAAGGATTTTTTTTCCCCTGCAGGAGCAAATTGTATCGTGCTTTGCTGGGGTTTTTTGCCTTCCTGTGGATCATCTGTGGGTGTAGGATTATAACTCTTTTTTTTTTTTTTTACGGTTGAGCTGGATGGACTTTTGTCTTTTTTTAGCCAGACTAACTATACCCACAATCCCTGGGTCTCTCAGTCTAGTGCTGATGCAGGTGAAATCAATTAATAGAGATGTGTTTGTTTCATAAAACATGTGTGATTCAATGCAGAGAAAAGAATAGGCATGCATGTGACCCAGAAGTTGTTTGTCTATCTGGTTTTTCAGCAACACTATTTTCAGTTTTGCTACTTTTTTTAGAGGACTCGTCACTATTTCTGTATGATAACACAGTTTGAATTTAATTTTGTGATTGTTAAAGTGGTTCTAAACACTAAGGGTTTCTACCTTAACCACCTCCCGCCCGCCATATAGTCCAATAACGGGCGCAAGGTGGTTCTCTCGTTCTCCCATTCTCACCGCGCATGTGTGGCTCAGGGAGCGCGCAGCATGGCGATCGGTGGTGCGCTGTGTCCCTCGGACACAGAGGATCAACGATCTACAGAAAAAGCCAAAGATGTCGGCTCAGTCATGTGATCAGCTGTGTCCAATCACAGCTGATCACATGTAAACAGGAAAATGCCAGTTATCAGCATTTCTCTCCTCACGAGCTGTCACGCTGACAGCTCGTGAGGAGAGCCGGTAATCGGCATTCCGCGGAGGGGACATGTACACTGATCATCAGGGCACTGATGATCAGTGTGCTCTGATGATCAGTGTGGCCCCAGAAGTGCCACCTGTCAGTGTCCATCAATGCCAGCTGCCAGTGCTGAACAGTGCCACGTGCCAGTGCCACATATCAGTGCCCATCTGAGCTGCCTTTCAGTGTCACCCATCAGTGCCACTCAGTGCCACCTATCAATGCCAATCAGTGCCACCTATCAGTGCCACCTATCAGTGCCAGTCAGTGCCGCCTATCAGTGTGCATCAGTGCCACCTATCAGTGCCCGTCAGTGCCTCCTATCAGTGCCAGTTGCCAGTGCTGAACAGTGCCACGTGCAAGTGCCACATCAATGCCACATATCAGTGCCCATCTGAGCTGCCTTTCAGTGTCACCCATCAGTGCCAGTCAGTGCCACCTATCAATGCCAATCAGTGCCACCTATCAGTGCTGCCAATCAGTGCCACCTATCAGTGCCAGTCAGTGCTGCCTATCAGTGCCAGTCAGTGCCGCCTATCAACATGCATCAATGCCGCCTATCAGTGCCCGTCAGTGCCTCCTATCAGTGCCAGTCAATGCCACCTAACAGTACCAGTCAGTGCCACCTAACAGTGCCAGTCAGTGCCGCCTATCAGTGCCAGTCAGTGCCACCTATCAGTGCCAGTCAGTGCCACCTATCAGTGCCATATATCAGTGCTGCCTTTCAGTGCCCATCAGTGATGCCTGTCAATGCCCATCAGTGCCACCTACCAGTGCCTCCTCATCAATGCCACCTACCAGTGAGGAGGGAGTAGGGGCAGGGCAGAGGCATGTTATGTTTTTCAATGAGCACACACGGCCCGGTTTGCACATCTACCCCCATAGCAAGCAAGTGGCTAAGGGGGCACACACAGTAGAGGAAAAGCTAAGAGCACCAATGGGGGGGGGGGGCAGAAGAGGAGATCTGGGGGCCCTGCACAGAGAATGTAAGTATACAATGTTTATTACTTTAAGAAAAGAGCCTCTATAACTGCTTTAATTATAAACTCTGTACCCAATAATCTTAGCATATGCTTTAATGGAATGTTCTATATTTGTGTTTGGTCATTTTTGATTTATATACATATTATGTATATATACTTTTACTGTTCAATGTGGTTTTAATGTGTATAATAATGTGTTGCCATGTATTCCTGTATGAGGTGTCAGCATCCCATAGTAGCATGTTTTGAGGGTGTTTCTGAGTTATTAAATATTCATGCTCAGTGTAATTTGCTTGTTAGTGTTTCTCATAGCACTGTCCTCTTTGAACATTGGCTGTAAACAATATATTTATCTCTTGCTTGGATGGGCTGAGAGTCATTTTAAATACCATATAACTGACAAGAAACAATAACTTCACCGGGAAAGAACTAAGAGCTCAGCGAAATTTGTCTGCTTTCTCAAGCTTGTGCATGAAAAGAGATTTAAAAGAAACCTCTTGAAATGACATGTAGGGAATGATAACAGACACTGGAGTACAGGCTCGATCACATATGATAAGTTGAGCTGCACTGATCTGCATTGATTAACGTAGGAAGCACAGAGGTGGCACAAACACCTAGCACATTATCCAAGGTTTATTATTTAAAAAATGTTAAGAAACATAACATACTCACAAAATGAGGTGCATAAAAAAGCCTATAAAGACACAGGGATGGCCAACGTGATGGCACAGTGTCTGACTAGTGGTGAGGTTGGCTTACTGATGCGTTTCAGGGACATGCCCCCTTCCTCAGAGCTCTGAGAGCCATCACATTGAGCCATCCCTGTGGTTTTATAGGCTTTTTTATACACCTCATTTTGTGAGTATTTTTCTGTTTCTTAAAATTTTTTAAATAAACCTTGGATAATGTGCTAGGCGTTTGTACCATCTGTGTGCTTCCTTTCCAGTTTTGGTTTGATCTGCCAGTCTGTGGAGGGCTGCATTACCAAGATTCTATTCCAAGGCTATCAATACATCGTATTCCCTGGTTTATTCCTGGCATTGACCTCTTTGGGGTGCTGGAAAGTTAGTCCGTTCAGTCCATTGATTAACGTAGGTTTAGGCCCCATTCCCACTTGCAAATGGGGCAGTTTGCGTTAGACCCCAGTGGGGGTTCCCTGTGATTAGCTGTGGGCAAGAAAGCCCAACGAAAAAATTGGTAGGCTGACAGTTTCCTCAGCTTTTTGTGGCCAAATGTGTGTAATCACACAAATCCACTTAGCCCTGGATGTAGACTGTGTGTCCAGGGCCAATCATCCACAGGTAATCGCTGTCTGAGCGTTTACTTGCAAGCAGTTGTATATAGCTGTGGGAGCTATCAGCCTCCTGTTGTTTTCAATGGGGCTTTCCACCTGCAGCTAATAGCAGGGAACCCCCAATGGGTTTCCCCATCTGATCGCAAATCCTATTCCCAAGGTGCATGGGGGTCTTAATGGAAGGACACTGAGAAAACAATTGTGTCTTTGACCCATTTACTCCATATAGGTGCATTGGTGTGTGTTAAAGATGCAGCCTGTCTAGATGTTTATGCAACAAATAACACATTACAACACATGGCAGCACGTTGCGATGCTGTTGTACATAGTGTTGAATGACATGGTTTTTAATGCAGGAAGTGTTGCGCATAGAGTTGAATGTAGTGGTAACTCTTGATAAAGTTTAATAAAAAAGGAAAAAAATGGAAACACTGTGATGTGTTCTAAAAATGCATTGCAGTATGGATGTACAATGAACATTATTGTGCACATTATGCACACCATAACATGGTCATGCTGGTATGAACAGGCCCTAGATGGAAAAAACAGTTGCCTATAGCAAACAATTGGATCTTACATTTAAAACAAAAATTACATTTTTTTTACAGGGGATACCAAAAATGTGACTTGTATCTTAGTGCCAACCTCTGTGAACATCAGTGAGCCAATCACACAAGCAGGAAATGACATTTTCAGGGGGTGTTCTGTACACCATCTGTGCACAGAACACCTCCAGGTAGCCACATTGCATTGCATTTTACAGAAAATTACAGTGGCTGCAGTTTGAAAAGGTAATTTTTAATAACATACAATTACAATATGGCTTGAGTCGCAATTGTATATGCTATATTATTTTTTTATTTGCTATATTTTTTTCCCATATTATTTTTTTATTTGTTATATTTTTTTCCCAAGAAAGTGGAGTTACCCTTCAACTATAATTCAGAGACCAGAGCTCAGTGACAACTTTCTATATAGTTGCCAAGCATCTGTTTTACACACAGTGTTCCGCTAGATCTAGAACACTCAGCACTCAACAGCTGGACCCCAGTTTCTTCCTGCTGCCACTCAACCCTGGCACTCCCGCAGCGATGTGGTAACAAGTTTACATCAAAAAAGGAACTCTAATAGGTTATTGGCAACAAGACTTGCATATATAAAAAGGCATCCAATCCATCCATAGAATACTTGAGCTTGCTTTTTTCAAGCACTGAACTGAGCTGTCCTTATAATGTCTACAGATTCTTCAGGGTTGAGCTGTCTCAACAAAAATGGGGAAGGTACACAGTTCTCAGCAAGTGGGAAACACACTTGTGACACCATCCTGCTTACTGTATGTTAGGCATTCCAGCTTCCACTCAGTGTTGAATCAGTATGTGGACCCATGTGGACCTTAACCCATTACAAAAACTTTTCCTCTTCTGTTTCCCCCTTCCCTCTAACAGAATTGGAAACTGTTTACTTTGTTTTTGTCTCATATATTAAATTTGTTGTGCTTCCAAGATTCTCGCCCAGGCAAGAATTACTTTGGGGCACCCTGCTGCATCCTTGAATTGCCACATCACATCCTCAGAGGCAGTGTTTTAAACAGAAGAGCATGCACTACATGAGATCTGCACTTGTGCAGACATGGCAGTGTTGTCTGCCAGGTATTTAGGATCTGTCAGAGACCTGCCGAACATCTGCACACAAGTGGGGGATGGTACAGATGTTGCAAGTCTCTGCAAGGTTCCAGACAACAAAACCAAGGGGCCTCAGTGCACATGCATGGAGGAGCCTCTTGTACATTGGCAGACATGCCTATTGGGCTAAATGTTTGAAATGTAATATTGTATAGCCAGAGTTAGAGCAAGGCTGAAGAGAAGAAAACAGAGAAAAAGAATATACTGGCAAGACAATGGAAGTCTATAAAAAACAGACAACATTTGGAATGCTTTGGAAGTGTTGGGATGGTTCTTGCAGGGGCTCAAAGCTGAAAATTTCCATCATCCATGGCAATACACAGCAATGATAATGTGCAAAATGCAATAATTTCTGACACCAAAATTCACTCATCTGATTCCAGAAAATTGGAGTGGATTTACTAAAGGCAAATAGGCTGCTCACTTTGCAAGGGAAGTTGCACTTTGCAAGTAAATTTACTCCACAGCTTTGTGGCTGATATCCATCATCTAGTAATGTGCAAGTAAAAATGCTGTTTCCTTTTTATTTTCCTTGCACGGGCTTGTGCATTCTTTGCAATGTGAAATTTCACAACACTAATCAAACTTTGGGGAAAGTACCTTTGCAAAGTGAACAGTCTATTTGCCTTAATAAAACAACTCCAAAGACTCCATTCTCTTCAACATTCAGGAATCACCTAGGACTGAAGGAAGGTATGACTAGTATGTGTAGCACCCTCTAGTGTGGTACCAGGGTAGTGTAGGTACATTTATTGTGTATGACTCATGGTAACTGTGAGAGTCACTGATTAGGTTGGGTAACTGTAGGTCAGGCTGTATGGCTTAACAGGTTGGGACTCTATCACCTCCATCTGCTTCTGGAGGACCATTGTAGCTTCCAGAAGCCATTGGGTGGAAGGGGTGGAGACCTAAACTGCCTTTTTATTGAACTCTAACCAATCCCAGGTTGGGATGCCCTGGTAGAGTGGTGAGGTAAAAACCAATGAATCTGAGAGACTCAGGCTGGCAAGGAGATTTGGGTGGAAGATAGAGTGAAGAGGCTTTTGGTGGCCTGGGAGGGGTCCCTTAAGTCTAGGGGGGCTGGGCTCAGGCTTGCTCAGGAGGATCCATTTAGCATTATGGTACAAACAAAAATCAATGCCTGTGAGCAGTGGGAGCAAGGACAGAGTGAGTTCATCAGCACATCCAGGGATTTATGAGAGGAGAGACTGCCACGTCTTCTGCAAGCTTTCAAAGGACAGCAAAATGTATGGCTCAAATCGCACCTCACAGCCTTCACATGTGATTTGCACAGGCATGCAGTGCGGTTGATGTGCCACACCGCATTACTGTGAACCGGGGCTCAAGAAAAAGAACAGTCCAGGATCTGTTAAATAGGAAGAAAGTTGTCCCTGTGTGTTTATTCAATCAAGTTGGGCATCCCATAA